TAGCTCAGTGAATTATGCATAAAAATTTCAGAGCACATCTTCTGCAAGTATAATATTTATGAATGATGCTTCCTTTCCAAGAGTGAACATGTAATTATCTATATTGTTTTTCTTTCTTTTTTTTTTTTTTCTATACACCAAAGAAGTATTTAGAATTCAAGCAGGACATTTTGAGTAATTCATTTGATCAAAATAAAATCATAATTTACTGAAGTTTCTCTGCTAATTTTCTTAATATCTTATTCTCCTAAAACTCACATATTATCGTTGTTACTAGTTGCCAGCAAGTGAATTCTGACTCCTGGTGACCCCATGTGTGCAGAGTAGAACTGCTAAAGGGTTTTCAAGGCTGTGACCTTTCAGAAGCAAATCACCTGCCTTCCAGGGTGCCTCTGGGTGGGTTCAAACTGCCAACATTTTGGCTAGCAGTGGAGCGCTTAATCGTTTGTGCCACCGAGGAACTCCTAAAACTTACATATACAAGAAATGTTAAAATATGAAACTGGTGATTCTTGAAAAGAAACTAGAATAGCTATATTTTTTCACAATCTAACCTTTGAGAATATTCACCTTCACCATACATGTGTGTTAATCTAGTGATAAAAGATATATATTGATTACTATCTTTCATGTCTATAGTCCCACTTGGTGAACTGCTTCATAGAAAACACTTATTTTTTCCTCTTGGTTTTAACGTTGCCCCACAAGAGTGCACTGTTCTCCAGCATGGAAGTTGCAGTAGCTTCTGCAGCACAAGGACTTTGCACACGCAACAGGAAAATCTAATGAGAAGAGGAAAAGTCACTCTTCTCAGTCAATGTCCTGAAGGCTGGGCAGACATGTTATGACCATGAATCTTGGGGCACTCCGCAGTAGTAAAAGCTTATATGTACAGATGATATTGACAAGAGTCAGATATAGAACACAGTGGGATGAGACAAAGGGCACTCATTAAAAATGTTATCTGATAAATGAGATAAAGGGGAGGCTCACCTACACTGACTCACTTAACAATCTCTTTTTCCTTTCTCTCTTCAAATATATTTGGAAATATTTACACATTACAAATACCTGTCAAATATGACAGTAACATTGGTATCACCATCATCATCACAAACCACCTCTTACATTAATATAGAATTTGGCATTATATGAAGCACTCTCATGTACATTCTTCCATTTGATCTAAACATCAGCTCTTAAGAG